GCAGGTGCCTGTAGTCCCAGCTACTTGGGAGGCTGAGGCAGGAGAATCACTTAAGCCTAAGAGTTTGAGGTTGCAGTGAGCTGTGATGCCATGGCATTCTACCAAGGGCAACATAGTGAGACTCTGTCTCAAATAAATAAATGATAAATAAAATAAAAATAGCAAACCTAGCTGAGCATGGCAATGCATCCTGTAGTCCCCGCTACTCCAGAGGCTGAGGCAGGAGAATCACTTTTGTCCAAGAATTTGAGGTCGCAGCGAGGTAAGATGACATCATTGCTCTCTATCCCAGGCAACAGAGTAAGACTCTGTCTCAAAAAAAAAAAGAAATAAAGAAAATCCTGTACAAAGGGTCAGGCACAAGATTTGGAGGTGGGCTGGTGGGGAATCAGGCTGTGAGCAGACCCTGGGCCCAGGGTGGGGACCAGGGCACAGCTGCTGGGATGCAGAAGGGAAAAGAAGGGGACAGATAGGCCAGGACCCTCCCCAGGAGCAGCCCACACTCTGGGGAACACACTCATCCTGCAGTAAACCAGCTTCTGTGAGGTGCTTTCATGGAGATACAAACCTCTGCTCGTGCCGGAGAGGTGATTTATCTCAATTGGGAGGATTAGGGGAGGCTTCTTGGAAACAATGTAGTGTGAATGTCTTGGTCTTTGAAAAATACAGTGTGGAAAGAAAAAAAGAGAGAAAAATACGGTGTGATATTCCAATAGCTAATCTCTAATGAGCACTTAGTATGTGCCAGGCACTCCTGGAGACCTACACATGCATTATTCCCTTTCATTCTTACCACACCCCTACTGGGTGGGCATGTGATCACCTCCACTTTACAAATACAGACGTGGATGTGTAACTTGCCTGACACCGAGATTTGAGCCCGGGTGGTCTAATGTCACACTCAGTTCTGCTATCTGTGGTCCCTGCTCTGGTGTGGGGGTGCGTGAATGAAGAACGTACCCCTGTCTGAGTGTGATCTGAGGGTAAAATTCATAGTCACTTACCACTGTCTGGTGAAAATCATAGTCACTCACCACTACCCTAAAACAGAAAATGTAGACAGTACTGAACAAATGTAGAATAAATTAATCCACATCTCATGCGGATGGCACAGTGTGGCCTTCTGTCTGTCTGTCTTTAGACCTCCATGGTTTTGATGATGGAACTTTCCAAGTAGGGTTTCGCTCGTAGTTTCTTTGAACTATACCCCTCATTCATGATGTTACCAGGGTAGCAATGACTAGTTGTCATGCCGTTTCAAGACAGTGTGCGTTACCCATACCAAATGCCTGTTTGTAGAAGGGCAGGTTATCTCAAGCAGTGGCCCCATAGAGAAGTGATCGGTGGAGCTGGTGAGTGGGCCTTCCAAGGGGCAAATGGAGTTGCACTCTTCCTGGTCATTGATCACAGCCGCACATCCTCTTGGACATTGGGTTTATGACTTCTAGGCTTGAGCACATAAGTCTTATTACTGGGCACTGCCCACTGGAGAGGGGTTGGCATGGCAACATGCCCTGATGTTAGATGAGTAAATTGAGACTGCCACCTCCCCATCGAGTCATTCATTAAACCTGCTGACTGCTCCCAGGAGCCAGGTGGGGCCAGCTTGTGTTTGTTTCTCTCTAGCAGGTGGTTGACAAAGAGCAACCCCCGTCCCCCAGACTTTATGCCAGATTGATTATCACACACAGCTCAACTGACAACCACCAAGATGTGGGAACAACCCAAGTGCCCATCAACCCATGACTGGATTAATAAGCTGTGGTCTATGTATACCATGGGGTTCCATTCAGGGTCTTCTCACAGGTGAGGGACACCTTGACAACCAGAACTGTTCAGAGATCAAGGGCCACTGGGTGACAGCAGGTGGAGAATGGGCATTTCAGTCACAGTAAGGTGACATCCGTCCAGTACCCCATTGTCTTAGTTCTGCATGTGTTATGGTCAGCTACGTGCAAGATGGGGTCCCTTCTGGTAATGGACTAGGCTGGCATGCCCATTCTTTTTTTTTTTTTTTCCAGATTGGTAGGAGGGCACAAATGTTTCAGTTACATAGTTTTCTTTTTTTTTTTTAATTAAATGATAGCTGTATACATTAATGCAAACATGGGGTACAGTGTAGTGTTTTCATATACATTTTGAAATACTTTCATCAAGCTGGTTCACATAAATTTCATGTCATTTGCTTAGTCATTGTGTCAAAACATTTATATTCTAGTTCTAGAAAAGTTCACTTATACCCTTGTTAGACAGATATATAGGTGATCTTTCCAGTCACACTCCCACCACCCAACCGCCCTTCTCCCCTCCCCTTTCCCACCCCCTCCCCATATTCTTGGGCTAGAATTAAGTTGTATCTTTCATTTGAGAGCTATAAATTAGTTTCATAAAAGGGCTGTGTACATTGGATACTTTTTCTTCCATTCCTGTGATACTTTGCTAAGAAGAACATTTTCCAGTTCCATCCATGTAAACATGAAGGAGGTAAAGTCTTCGTTTTTCTTTAGGGCTGCATAGTATTCCATGGTGTACATATACCACCTAACTCCAGTAAGATTAGCCCATATCACAAAATCCCAAAACCAGAGTTGCTGGCATGGATGTGGAGAAAAGGGAACACTTCTACATTGCTGGTGGGAATGCAAATTAATACGTTCCTTTTGGAAAGACGTCTGGAGAACACTTAGAGAACTAAAAATAGACCTGCCATTCGATCCTACAATTCCACTATTATGTATATACCCAGAAGTTAAAAAATCACATTACAATAAAGATGTTTGTATCAGAATGTTTATTGCAGCCCAATCCATAATTGCCAGATCATGGAAGAAGCCCAAGTGCCCATCAATCCATGAATGGATCAATAAACTGTGGTTACATAGTTTTCATTTCTAAGGTAAAGTTCAAGCTGTAGTTGAGCCCTTCACCCAGGGCAGGCTGAACACCCTCACATTGTGCACATGAGGTGAGAGCCCACCAACGTCACTTCCTCCTCTGCGTCCCCCCTCTCCCTTCTCCTGTCCCCCTTGTTATACTACATTTGTGGTTTTCTTTGCTGTGGGTGTATAGTTGTTTATATATTGGTTTCATATTAGTATTGAGTACATTGGATACTTGTTTTTCATTCTTGTGATACTTTACTAAGAAGAATGTGTTTCAACTCTATCCAGGTAAACACAAAAGATGTAAAATCTCCATCTTTTCTTTTGACTGAATAGTACTCCCTGGTATACACATGCCACAGTTTGTTAATCCATTCATGGGTTCATGGTGCCCATTTTTAAATTCCTTCTCTCATTCCTTCTTTTTTCTTTTTTTGAGACAGTGTCTTGTTCTGCCACCCGGGGTAGAGCGCAATGGTGTCGCCATAGTTCACTGCAGCCTCAACCTCCCAGGCTCAAGCGACCCTCCTACCTCCACCTCCCAAAGTGCTGGGATTACAGGCATGAGTCACCACTCCTGGACCATCATTCTTTTATTTTTCATTATGAGAATTTTCAAACCCACAAGAAGTAGAAAGAATCATATAAAAGACTCCCATGTACCCAAAGCAAATGCCAACATTTTGCCAATCTTGTCTTTTGATTGACCTTCTGGTGATTTTCATTTTATTTTCTGTTGAGGTACAACAGCCTTACAGTAAAGTGCACAGCTTGATACATTCTGACGATGAATTTTTTGTCTCTATGTAGCACCACGAACCCATCACATCAAGACGTAGAACATTCCCAGACGCCTGCCCCTCCTGGGATCTGCACTTTCAGGGTCTAGGGCACGATGGCAACATTGTGCTGGGGGAGCTGTTCTAAAGAGAAATCGAAACTTTTTTTATTTCTCCCTCTTCTTTCCCTCCTTCTTTCCTTCCCTCTTTCCTTCCTTACCTACGGACCTAGTTA